CCCGCCGCGCACTGCGAGAGGCACCAAGGGTGAGGTGCCGTACCTCGCCCCGGGACGGTGTCCCCTGCCCCCTGGAAAACCCCTGTGCCCGGTCCGCCTGGGGCCGACCAGCCGCCTTTCCCTAGGGTTGGAGCTCGCTGTTACAGGCCCCTTCCCGAGCACAGATTTTAGTCAGAATGAGCCCTCTCTCCTCCACCTCTGCAGTGTCTCCTTGCAGTCCCTGATAAAACACTAGCACTGCAGACAAGGCCTGTACCTTGGGCTCCAGGCTGCTGCCAGGAGAATCTCATTCCCTGAGAGCTGCACTAGCGAGGCTTCGTAGTATGAAGCTGTATGAACTTAATTGTATAAATTAATACTAACTTTCTTAAGAGATACTTATTCTACCTTGTGTACTGCATAATCATGGTTAAGACTGTAGCTGGAGAGCCCCAGCTCACCACAAGGAGAACAGCCCCCGCCTTGAAGATAAGGACCTTTTGTTTCTCAGAATTTTAAAGCCATCCATGAAAAAGAAAGGTGCCCCTGGACTATTAAGATAACAGGGTCCTCTGAAAAAATCCCTCCTATTATCTATGACATCATAGGTAACTGTAGCAAGACCAACTCCAGGGACACCTAAATCAAGAAAGAATCAGATGGACAATGGCACCACAGATTTATAGTTGTTTTTCAACATAGTAGCATTAGTGTGTTATGTAATGAGTGGTCAAATCATGTAGTTTCTGAGTGCATGAAAGGTATAAGGACCATTTGTAAAACACATTCAGTGTGCCCTGATTGGAATAGGACACTTCATGCCTATGAATTATATATATTATTATATATATTGATTCATATATTTTGCTTCCTAGCCTTTCTTCTCCATCAGCACAAACCAGTTTAACATTTCCATGACATTTAAGTCTCCTGCTGCGCCATACCCCTTGCTCACACAAGATCCTTACATGGCCATAGAAGGCAATCTTTGTTTTAAAACGATAATTCAGACCCATGAGGGATTAGCTGTGGCTAAGAGCAACAGACAGCTTGTGATGGACAGAATTTTCAGCGTTCCCAGCTGGGAATCATGCCTTGAGCACCCATTGCTGATGCACATATATGATCTTTTGGCTACCTAAAGGTATCCCCATCTGCCTGAGTGGCATAGTTCCCACTGTAAATTGATGGGCTCTTGCCCTGGAGCATTCTTCCTTCACGATGGTAGATGAAATGATGCAGAGTAATATGGTGAACACCACCAATGCAGAAAATTCTTCTTTTTTTACTGATTATATTCTTTCTAAAACTTAACCACAATATGATTATTCTGAAAAGGTAGAACCCAAAAAGTCAGGTAGGCGTTTAGGTAGTTTTCAAGCTTTTGCCAAGACTTTTGGACCTTGTCCTGGTTTCAGTGTCCACAGTCTTGTTATACAGTGCAATTGTTAATACTTCAACCTAAGATTGCTCTGTCCTGAAAATAGATATTTGTAGCAGAAACTGGACATTGTCTAGAAGGAGAAGGAAGTGTGTTCCATCTAAACCAAAGGAGAGCACTTTCTCCAGAACAACCTATATATACATATATATGTCCCTAGGAGCAGGTAACACTGATAATAATAGACATATTAATTGGACTATTAAAAAACAAGGCAAAAAGAATAACTGGAAAAGTTGTTGTAATGGAAAACAGCCTCTGTCTCTGTTCCCTGACAAATTTCATGTATCAATTTATGTCTATATGTAAAAAGCATAATAAGCTATGAAAACTTTTCTCTTATTTGAAGAATAAATGTTGACGGCAAAAAACAAACCAAAACAATCAAGCAGTTTAAAGGAGACAATGGACTTGGGAAATAAAATGGAAATATAAGCAAAGAAGAATAGTACAATCAGTGAAGGTTTCATGTAGAATAAAAAGAAAGAGTCAGTAATGTCAACTTTTATTTGAATACCAGATGTTTGCATTTTTGTAGTGGTTTGCTGCTAATGGCCAGTCATTAGACCTGTAGTCCTGTCAGACTGATTGTATTTTTCTCTTTTCTACTCATGGTTGTGCAGAGGAAACACAGGTTCTGGAACAAGGGCAGTGGTCTATTCTGGCTCAGTCATCAGTACACCAGTCCCCATTTATTAATGCTTCTTTTGAGGAAGCACAATGCAGGAAGGAAAGCAAGCACTTGTGTGCTGGACTTCCCAATGGAAAAATATCAGACTATAAATATTACCTGATACTTCTGCCAGAATATCAAATCCAGACAGATAGATAATGAGTCTTTGTGGTGAATTCCTATCTGAGTGGGGAAATACTAACTTTGCATAATATGAACTTTACATAAAATCCAATATAGATGTATTACCCAAGATTATTAAAAGTCTGAAAAATTATTCACATTCTTTAGTCCCGAATATTGCACAATAGTATAGAATTCCTCTTGGAGTTTCTGATGTCTGTGTTGTGTTGTTGCTGCTGTTTGTAAATTACCACAGGAGCCACCAGCTGTCATCATACAATTTTTATTGGCACTCTGTAAATATTAAATCAGCATGCTAAAATCAAGCCATGTGCAGTAACAGCTGATGCTCTGTTATAGAGAGCACATGCAAGAGAGAGGTGTGCACTGTGACTCCCATGATTCTTACGGCTTACAAGCGCCTTGCTTCTTGATACTGTTTGTCAGGATTCATTTTGAGCCCGGTTGGGCCCCTTGTTGCATGTGCATTGTCTGTACACAAATATCCCCTGAGCTGAGAGATCAGTCTTCTCAGCAGTACTCAGCTGCTTGGGTCCTTCTAAATTGTGCAGTTTGTTACTAGCACTTCTTTTCTGCAGCACCGTGGTGTTGGTCACTTCCTTGTAAACCTAGATAAAATACATAGGAGACACTTGTTAACTCTTGAATGGGAGCAAAATCCTTCATGTCGTGAAGGCAGAACTCTGCGTCAATGACAAAGCATGCTGAAACAAAACCTGTCCTGGCCCAGAAGTTTTGTTAGTTGCGGCGTGACATATTGAGAATGAGGTGGTAGATGTTAAGCGAAAATGTGTCTCAGGCTCCATTTTGTCTCTAGCTTATTGTCCAGAAAAATCAAAGGCAAGGTATGTTTTCCAATCTGTCTGCCTCAGTAGTAGACATGGGGAGATCTACTGATCCCGCAGCCCAGATAGATTATATGGGACAAGGTAGACCAGGCAGTAGGCTAACTTAGGCAGTTAACAGTGGTTTGAGGAGCTCTGTTCAGATGAAGATGTTCTAATATTAGCTCTTCTAATGCCTCGCTATGTCCAGGAGTTGCTGTCTGAAGGGCAGGGCAACAAACTGCTTGAATGCTTCCATATCTATTGTAGTGTGACTTTGAACAAGCTTCAGCAGATATCCCTTGTTCAGAAGGAAACTTAGGTACATGTCTGCTCTGTTTGAACCCCCTGACTGCTGGCTGCAGCCACCAGCAGAACATCAGAATAAATGACTGGTAATAGCAATACGTTAAACCAGGAAAATGAAAATGCATCAGAATGGCCCTGACTTTATTATTGTTACTCGGTTTTTTGATAATAATTTTAGCTCCTACATTTTTTTGCTTTTCAACTTGAAGTCCATTTTGGTGGTTCCATGGAGGCCAAGGTGCTGTAAATGGATGATTTTGTTCTCAGTGTGGACAACTAACATTTTATCAATATTCTTTCAACAGGGCCAACTACAGACTCTTTTAATCTGCATTCTTTCTCACCTGAGATGAGGAAGTGTGCATGGCTATCAGGGAATGATTTCAGGGGAGCTGAAGTTGGTGGCTACATGCTAGATATTCAAGGAGTTAGGTTTAGCACAACATCAAATAATATTTAGAGTTCACTATTAGTGTTTCCTGGTTCTACTGGCAAACTGTCTAATGGAGGATCCGACCTAACCCCAACTCCACACCTCTTCACATGCACCATCCTGCACAGCATGCACTCCCTGGTGCATCCCAGACGTGATGTGATTATGCAGCTGTGAAGGCTGGCAGAGAGCTTCCATCTAAGTAGGAAATCTTGTTGTTTTGCTGTTGCAGCAAGGAGCTGGGACATTTAGGACAAAGCGCTGCAAGAGATTTTACTACCTGTCAATAAAAGCTAGTCAGCTGAGAGCCATGACCTTAGCTGTGAATATTTCAGAGGCGGTGAACAAAGTACTAACCACAGCATGAAGTACCAAGGGCAGTTTCAGAGACTTTTCCCTGGAATATATGGTTGTGCAGAATTCAATACGAGTTTGAAGTAACTCTGGTGTTTGGTGTATTTGTAGGCATTAAAGCTGCTCGCATTAAATCCACATTTAAGAGAATAGCCTGTACTGAAGATTTATTTTGCTTAGGCAGTAGGAAAAAAACAGCTCTTCTTTTCAATTATTTTCCAGATAAAGCATGCCCCTTTGGAAAAGAGACAATAGGTCAAATAAAAGGTCAGAAGTGCAGAAAGTTTACTTGGAATTGATTTGAATTTTCAGAGAGCTCTGCAACTATGGCTTAGTCTTGTTCTGTAAGATAGGCTTGCACAAGTAGTGCTCTGAAATAAATCACAAAAACAGCAGTTGCATTGTAAGCATAGTTACATT